CAAAGCTATTGCTATTTTAATGTGAGACATTTTTTTTTTTTACATTGATGTTTACTCTGTACAAGACCCAAGAGCCACGACTTGAGGTAGAAGGTTGCAGAATAAGAGACACAGCTGATACAGATATGTGGAGATGATAAGTTAACCCTAGACTTGAACTAGTTAAGATTATAGTGATTGGGAAAGCATCCTCTTGGGAGTCATTCCACAAAGCAACCATTCATGGGAAGAAGCTGTTCAAGTGGAGCTTACATCTCACCAATAGAATATGAAAAGAATAGAGTGGTTTGCTACAATGTGCATGGCATGGTAGGTCTTGGAACTAAGGAATGTACTTCATCTGAACTTTCCATGGAAATAGTGATAGAAGGGTGAGAGGCTTGCAATGTTTCATCTCTGAGAAAGGGATTGAAGAGTGGAAAATAATTTGTCATCCACAAAGATGCAGAGATGCTTTTGGATTCTGTCAAGATTAGAAAAGGAATATGGGGCAACTCCTGCCCATACTTGGTAGAAATACTTCATTTTTTTTTTTTGGCCTGATCTGACTCTTGTAAATGTATCAGATGGCAGGAGGAATCAAATACTTATGGGAGCAGTACAGAGAACTGACCATTTTTCCAACATCTTTAGTGATGGATTGTATGTACAAGTTCCACTTGAGGTCTAGTTTGAGTTTAAAAATAGCAATTAAAAACAAAAGTGATAAAAAACTGAATGGGGTTGGCTCGGTGGTGCATCTAGACACACTGGATGCCAAAAATTTAAGGTGTCCCTAAATCTTTGATTTTCTCTCAATGTAGAATTATAACCAACATTTGTATTTCATTCTCTCTTTGTAAATATATAAGGTGATTTTTCTAAGCATAGCTTAGATGTGGCACAAGGTCAAAAGTATGAAGCACCCAGTAAGGATCGAACCCACTACTCAGTCATAATTGTTCTGGTGAGGCAAGCTTGATAACCATTACATGACATCAAAGTGGCAAATGAATTTCTAAGCGTAACTTAGATGTGGCACAAAGCCAAAAGTTTGGAACACCTGGTGTGGATTGAACTCACTACTCAGTCATAATTGATTTAGCAAGACAAGTTTTCTAACCATTACACCCCCTAAATATATATATGATTCCTTTGATAAAAATATTATTTAGTTTGAAGTCCTTTTGTAGGATAAAACAGGATTTTTTTCTATTTTGCCATCTATTTACCCACTATTGGTTTGATATAATGTGCTTGTATGTCATATTCTCTCATAATGTGGAGTACAGGCTTCCTCATCTCTTGTGTTATTTTCACAAGCCAATACAAAACATTTTTCATCACCTCGTTGTTAATATAAAAGACACTCTCTGTCTATATGTAAATATTTTAAGCTAAATGTTGAAAATATATAAACACATAGTTCCCAACAAGTGTATAAATCCCTTTATAAATTCATTTTGAAAGTGCTGTTCTACAAGTTCACAAGAATAAAAATTTTACCAATATTGCTCCTGAAAATTTTAGAATGTCACTGAAAATAAACAATTTCAAAAACAGGTTTTTTGTTTTGAGTGTGTCTGCATATGTCTTTTCAAATGTGAACTGGTTGAAAATGAAGATCCACACTCTTCACAACAATAAGGTCGTTCTCCACTGTGTTTTTTCCGATGTTGCACCAAGTGAGACTTTCTGTAATAAGAAGCGTCACATAATTCACAAGAATATGGTTTCTCTCCAGTATGTTTTTGCATATGATGCACCAAATGTGACCTCTCTGCAAAAGAAGTTTCACATATTTCACATGAATAGGGTTTCTCTCCAGTATGTACGCGGACATGTCGCTCCAGATGTGACTTCTGTGAAAAGGGTAATCTACACACTTCACAAAAATACTGTTTCTCTCCAGTGTGTATTGCCATATGTCGAAGCAATTTGGATTTCACCAAAAAGGATGACCCACAAACTTCACAAGAATGTGGTTTTTCACCAGTGTGTGTTTGAATATGTTTTTTTAAATTTGAATTAGCTGAAAATGAACATCCACACACTTCACAAGAATAAGGTTTTTCTCCAGTGTGCACTCGCATATGCTGCACTACAGCAGATTTCCATGAAAAGGACGATCCACATACTTGACATGAATATGGTTTTTCCCCAGTGTGTGTGTGCATATGCTGCAACATATTTGCTTTCCGTGAAAAGGAAGCACCACACACTTCACAAGAAAATGGTTTTTCACCAGTGTGTGTCCGCATATGTTCTACCAAATGAGCCTTCTCAGCAAAGCATGTTTCACATACCTCACAAGAATGGGGCTTCTCACCAGTGTGTGTTCGTAAATGTCGTTCCAAATATGACTTCCACAGAAATGACGAGCCACACACCTGGCAAGAAAATGGTTTCTCCTCAGAATGTGAACGTATGTGTCTTTTTAAATATCTGCTACTTGAAAATGCAGATCCACAAATTTCACAAGGAAATTTTTTTTCTTTTGTATATTTATCCATTTTTATGATGAAAAATCAAAATTTCATCTGTTCAAATGTCCAACTGTTTTTTCTCATAAGCAGCAAGCAAGATTTTTCATATGTTGGAATATCTGTGAAATAAAAACAAAAAAGTAAATGAAAAACAAAAGATATAAGTCTGTCTATATTTCTGAGATGAGGTATTATGTACATTATTTACATTATTCGAACTATTGTCCTCACCTTTGTCGCCATATTTATCACGTTTCGGATGTTGGATGATACACACGATTCAAAAGTAAAAACTAAAGAGTCAAACAATAAGCAAAGTAAAGAGGTCTGGGCTTAAAAAGAAAGATTCCGATCACTCAAAGCCCTCTATGATAAATTGTCAATAATAGTCATGCAGAGAACAGTCTACCCCGGTGAGCGAAATAAAGGGTTCAGTTCGACATTCTCACCACCTGAAGAAGGCCGGAGCGTACAACAGCAGAAACGTTGTGATAAATATGGCGACAAAGATGAGGACAATAGTCCGAATAATGTAAATAATGTAAAAGATATAAGATTGTCATTCAATGAATGATTAATTTCTGTCCAACAATGGATCAGTAAGTTGTATTAGCTGTATAACATTTACATAATATATGAAAAGACACTAGACTAAATATACTCATAAGGAAGGAGATTATGTTAAGAAATGAATGTTGCACATAATGTTTTGCTTTTTTTCTCTTTATTAAGCTTTAGATTTATTGATGTTTATCACTTTAAACATTATTTTTAGTAGATATCCATATCTGAGTAGATACTTTGTTTATTTTAAACAGTATATTTTTGTCTACCAGCCTGAATATACATGAAATCTTATTAAAAAGAAAAGTATGTGCCCTCAATTGTTAGATCCAACATGCTTTTAACTGACTCAGCCACGAAGGGTGTTGCCAATGAAGCAAAGCTTAAGCACGATTCTTCTCATCCTACATTCTTGTAAGTTCGTATCGGCTAAGTTTCATGTCCGAAACACAAACAAAGCAATTTCTTAAGTAATGGATTCTTTATTTACTAATCTGACAGATTTTTATCACTTTAAACATTATTTTTAGTGGATACCATTATTTGAGTAGATACCTAAAGGTAATATTCAGTCTTGCTTGATCAGCAACACCCTTCATAGCTTAGTTGGTTAAAAGCACGTCAGATCTAATTATGGTTTCTCTCTCAAAGGGGGACACACATTTGAATTGTGCAAGAAGGTGCATATTTTTCTTTAATAATATTTCTCAAATATTCAGGCCAGTAGATGAAAATAAATATACTGTTTAAAACAAATGGAACATCTACTCAAATATGGGTATCCACTAAAAATAATGTTTAAATGATAAAATTTTGTTGGATTAATAAATAAAAATTCCATTACTTTTTTTTAGAAATTATTTATTGATGTACATCTCTGTGGATACTTAAAATGACAATTCATTAGTATTGAGGAACATTTTATAAATTGAAATTTTCATTTCTTTGTATATTTTTTTTTAATCATTTCACTCCAAGCAAGGCAATAAAGCCACAAAAATGCAAGAGATTACTGAGTGTGAAAAAAAAAACATGAGAAAAAGGAAACCTTATTAAGGAGAGAGAACAATAAAAGAACAGAAATTAACAACACAGAAGATAATGATTGAGATAGCATTTAATTTTTTGACACATTTTGGGTTATTTAATGCCAAAACCTAAATACTTGGAACACAGTTTTATGGCTTCAGTTACAGATAAAATGTATTGTTGGTTATTTTGCTATAAATATGTATCATTGGTAATTTTTTTATATTAAAATGTATTGCTTGTATTTATACATTTATAGTGTTTTGTTTTTGTTTGGGGGTTCACTATTTTCCCATAGCTGGGACCCTAACAGGTGCTTCCTATGTCAGGGTGAACCTGGGAACATCAGCAATTAACAGGTGGTTCTATGCTCTTCAAAACCACCAATCTCCCAATCAGAGGCCTTGCTGCTGAATGGAGTTTATCATCAAAAGTTGGCTGAAAAGTAAGAAGCTATAAGAGAGCTCAACAAGTGAGAAGTGCAAGAAAAGAAACTTTAGCATAGAGCTTACAGTTACATCCAGCCATTTCAGTTGTAAAATGATGAGACTTTGCTGCCAATCTAAGACTGTGTTTAAACTCATAAAACTAGGTACCAAAGAGGAAAGATCATTGGAACAATTACAATCAAAATATTTATAGAAAAGCCAAGTGGAAGTCTTTGAAAAGAGGAATATAAGTTCCATTCTTGTCAAGAGGCACATTTCTTTTAGTAGGACTTCTCAATCTGTAGGCTGGTTGACATTAATTTCACCACTTAAAAGAACAGGTATGCCTATTCAAAAAGTGTACCCAGTAATTATAATATTTATAGTAATAAGAAATATTATCAAATTAAAAATTCTATTAACTGCTTAAAAATCAGTTTTTGTTTTGGATATGAAAATCAAGTTAGCAGATATGGCCTAATTGGCTATGGGAAGCTATAAAGACATAAGGAGCATGTGGCCACATCACATTGAAACACCAGATCCTGTACAATCATTAAAGCTAAGCAACATCAAGCCTGATCAGTACCTAGATGGGTGACCACTTGGGAATACTAGGTGTTGTAAAATTGGATGTGTAGAGGGTTTAATGGATAATGGCTTGGAATTGTTAATCGGAGATCTAAGTTTCAATCCCAGTTGCGTTCTTTATACTCACATGCACAAAATACCCTTGGGAAAGGTATGAATCCAATCTCATTTTCCCCAGCTACAGGTTAATTAGTAAGACTTGTATCACTAAACCATTATTATTTATAAAAAATATTCTTACAATCTAAAAATATTTTCTGGCTTTAAATAACCTACAAAGGGTTGATAAACTGTAGAAAATGAATCAATCAATAATTAGTAAGACATAAATGTAGTTTCCAAAATGGAAATATGGGTTCAATTCATGTCAGGAGGTACATTTTCTTTTGTAGGACTTCTCAACATCTAAACCAGTTAACATTATTTTCACTGTTAAGAAGAGATGTTTACTCAAATACACGTATGTACTAAATATAAGGTTTATTCTAATAAGAAATCTGGATAAACTTGGACCTTTGTGCCCTCAAAATAACAAATATCTACTGTGATATAGTAACCTTGTAGAACCATTTAACAAATAAGGAAGATTAATGCAGAGTTTTAATGGACAAAAAACAGGAGAGCACTTTTGAGAAATTAAAAAAGGCATTCATAAATAAACCTGTTAAAATCGTCAACCCAGTGAAAGAATTGACGTTAACTACTGAAGACAGTGACTGTGTTATAGCCACAATATTGTCACAAGAGGATCACCCTGTAATGTACTTATCTAGAAAACTAACATTGGTAGATGCGAATTATTCAAATATTGAGAAGGAAGTATTGGTGATAGTGTGGAGCACAGAAAGAGCTAGAAATTTTTAGCTGGGAAGGAAATTTCTATTAAAATCTGATCATAAGCCTTTGGAATTTATATTCAACCCCAGAAGTGTATTGCCAAAGGTCATATCTGCTAGGATATTAAGATGGGTGATTAACACTTTCACTGCTACTCATTTGCCCAGTGCTGCCTCCATCCGGCCAGCCATTTTTAAAGAAAATGCCAAATTTCAACCTACATATTTTATTACACAGAAAACTGGCACCAGTGTGTTTTACAGCCTTCCATTTTCATGGATATACCTGGGAATGACTTACCAGATCAGTAATGGGTATACACATGATATCTTTTGAAGCATTGGCCTTTGTGATTTTACGATAGATGGTGCAACGGGACACTCATAACAGCGGTATGCAAAAAAACGTAGGTTTCCGTACTTAGCCAGCTGGAGCAAGATAAGAAAAACAAAGATCTCCGTAGTTAGCAGTGGAAGTGTTAAGCTTATGGCGTTCGACTTTGACATCATATATACTAAAGGAAGTACTATTCTGCATGTGGATGCATTATCTCGGTTAAATTTTGAGAGTAAAAATGTTGAAGAAAGTAAAAATTGCGAGGATAGGATTTTGCACTAGATAGAAACAGATGTATTACCCTTAAATCAACTTAGGTTGGAAATTAGGCAGGATCCAGTGTTGAATAGAATTATGGATAGAATGAGAAATACATGGAGTAATTGCTCTGTTACTGAGAAGCCTCATAAAGAGTCAAGACACAGATTAACAATAGAAAAATGAATTATATGTAATGGAGATATCATAGTATATCTACAGTCTCTGAAAAAAGAAGTAATTAAAGCCATGCATGATGATATATATGAAGCTATATTGGCTACATAAATGAGATTAAATTTGCAAGCATGGTGGCCAGGCTATTTGAGAGACATGGAAGAGTATGTTAAAAAATGTCCATAGTGTGCAGAAATAAAGAAATTTAAGCAAACTAAAGTTCACTTTTGACAAAAGGAAATGGAAACATAGGCACAAGTACATATGGATCATCATGATGCCTATACTAAAGGTATAGGACTATTTCTGATAATAGTTGACTTGTATTCAGGTTGGCCTGAAGTTATTAAAGTTGTGGATAGAAAAGTGGATGTTGAGGATAGCATTTTCATGAAATAGAGTTCCAAATACCTTGATCTCCAACAATGCACCTGAATTTTGTGAAGAAAGTGCATGGTTAAAACGTATTGGCTGCATTCCAGACAAAACACTACCTTACCACCCACAGTCAAATGGAATTGTGGAGAGAATGGTTCAGCTGGTAAAAATGGGATTAAAAGAATTCTCTCTGGTGGATTGTGATATAGAGAGTTATTTACCCAGACTACTCCTAAATTATAGAGCTATTCTGCATGCAGGCAAAAGACAAAACCCATCTTTATTGATGGGAAGACAAATAAGAGCTACGATTAGCATGTCATTTTCAATGAATGAAAGTGTGTGGTACAGAAAAGACAAGGATTCAAGTCCTGAAAAGGTGAATTTCGTGGTGCAAAAGGGATTTAACACACAGCTGTGTTAACAAGGCAGGGACAAGACATACTCTGGCTCACGAAGACTAATTTAGAATCACAAGAAAGCATAAAGTTACGGAAAAAGTAGAAGAAGAACAGACAATGAAAAAAAAAAAGGATGAATGAATCCAGTATTGAGAGTGATCAGGAAGACCACTAGAGATATGAAAGTGAAGAACAGGAGAGGGAGGAGAGAATGAGTGTATCCAGTAGTAGTGAGGAACAATCTGGGGATGAGAGTGATTGGAGGTATCATAATAATTCAAATGAGGAGAATCAGTTAAGACCTAGATCGCCTATAAAAATAAATGAAGATATTCAATCTAAGAGACAGATGATGCCTTCCAGGGTTGTTTATATAAGTCAAAGATCAACTACATGTATAAAGCCTCTTAGGTTCAGGGAGGTGTACTGATATGTAAATGAGGTACTGTATAAAAGGCAGTATCGCTATACCTACAGGAGAGTTATCTTCTCTTGACGAGACTACATCTACCACAGAGAATATCTATCATAACAGTTGTTACCACTCCCACCAACAGCTGTCCATTAAGCCTGTACTACACAACCTAGGGAGTGAACTCACAATTACTAGGTTACCAAATTCACAAATTAGCACTTTCATCCATGAAGCTATTATCTTGTAACTAGAAGCTGCTACAGCTGAAACAGTATGGTAACAACAAAAAAGATGGAGACATTAATTCAAATACATATAAAGTAAATAATGATAACTCCTCATCCCAGAAATTCATACAAAAACTAAACAAAATTTTACTTATATTTGGATGATAAATATACAATGTGAATTTTAGCATGTATGTTTGTATTGTAAATATTTACAATAAATTATTTGGTAGGGTGAGATTTTATTAATCCACTTTAGGGTTGTTCATAACTTGTAACCTAGAAAGGGTTACTGAATGAGGAATAACCAAAACGGATGTTGGAAATGAAATGGTAATCTTTAAAACATCAACAAAATACAATACTCACCAGTAGCATCAAGTAGGTAAACCACTGCTAGTGCTGGACTACTTAGACCAACCCCCACTTACAATAGTGTCCAACATATTTATGAGGATTGGGACATACCCATTAGTGTTCATAGGTACGGTATATAACAATAACGTAAATAAATATATTTATAGGTATTGTTTTTGTTCTTCTAATTTCATATGTATAAAAATTGCTATGGGTCATAAGCAGAAAATATAATCTCAAAAGAGAAACAAGATATCGTAAGGGTATTGAAACACAATGTACTAATTATTTACTCTATTTACACTCAAACTATTGTCCTCATCTTTCTTGTTATTATGTTTTGGCTGTTGTTCCCACTGGACTTCATCAGGTGTATGTCAATCCAGGTAACCTACAGGGAATTCTGAACTGAATCCTTTATTTAATCTACAGAGATAGACTGTTCTCATTTCAATGCCCATGTCTAGTTCTTATTTTTAGTACTGCTCAGTTATTGCTCACCATGTTTCCACTGAGTTCAAGTACACACTTCCTGGCCCAGGGATTGAACTCACAACTGTCACCAAATTCTCAAACCAATGCTTTCATCCACCAGGATGTTGTCCCATAGGGATAACAACAACAAAGATGAGAATAACAGTCTGCAAATAGTGTAAATAATTATAACTCATCTCAGAAATTTTAATCTCATAGAATTTAATTATTTCAGGCAATAATAACTTATTAAATTATATCTATACCTTAGTATCTATCAAACTTGCAACAGAACAAAAAAAATAAAGCTTTGTCCATTCTAAAAGATCAAAGGGGTAAAGGAGTAATAAAAGTCAAGACAGTAAGTCCTATATATCCATCATTTGCCATTTTCCTTTCAGCCACTTTTCATGAAGTGCCTGAATTGGAGTCATTTAAAATATAAATATATATATATATATATATAAAATCAATTAATTCCAGTCAAGGTGATAATGCCACTAAGACACATGGAGCTACTGAGAGTGAAAGTGAATGAGAAAACTTTAGAAAGAACCGGAAACCCAATCCCAAACAGATGAACTGGAGGATAGGCAAAACATCTACTCCAATTGAGGAAAAAATAAAAATAAATAATAAATAAAATTACAGCATTTAGGCTGAGATGTTAGAAGTATAGAGTTGAAGTAGGCTTTAGAAGGGAGACAAGGGATAAACCTGTTCAAAAGACCGGGGGAGGATTGTGAACCAAATGATAAGTGAAACTATCTACTCCTACTGAGAAAATAAATAGTAAATAAAATTTCAAAGTGCAGGCTGAGATGTTAGAAGTACAGAGTTGAAGTAAACTTTAGAAGGAATCACAAACCAAACTGATGATTTAAAGCAGGAAATAATTAAGATTAAACAGTACAAAAAGAAGCTGTTCAATTGATGAAGAAAATCAATTTTTTTTTTGTTGTTTTTTAATGCCATTTCAAGTCCTTCAGAGTTATTTAATGCCACAATCTCTTTACAGAGAGATATTTTAGTTTTAGTTTGAGGGGTTGAGTTAATTTAAGATTTTTGTATTGATAGGTTCAGTCTGTACAAGAGTCAAAATCTTTCATAATATCCCCTCTCATGACAAATACCTCCCCTTTGACATTCCAAGGAGTAATAAACTAAAATAAAAT